ACTTGCAGAGTGCGCGTCAGTCGCCGCATCTCTGGTGAGGTTGAATGCGAACTTACCACATGTTCTGGCGCGAACATATGGTATTTACGCAACATTCCGCCCGCCATCAGGAACGGAGTTGCTGATTGAGTCCTGGAGTGATCCATTGGAGCGATGAGATGATTGAAGACGTCCTAGGCATCTGGCTCTGGAGCAAGTGGCAGGAGTGCAAGTTTGGAAATTGGTCGAGTTATTTGGTGAGACTTTCGTCTGGCTCCTTTCGAACAGGCCGTTTCCTGGGCTTAAAAAAGCTATACACGCACTTACATAAAACCCAAATCTCACCAAACAAAAGCACTGTCAACTCGCCGGGCAAGGAAAAACCCTGCCCTCCAGCTTTTACGCTATCACTGGCAGAATGTGAATGGAGTTGTATTTAATTTTATGTCAATCTGTCCTCGTAATTGTTGATTGTATCAAACCTCCCCTATACAACTCCATTCAACGACTACGTTGGCCTGGCCGGTAATATAATGACAATCCGACCAGTTGCCCAGCGGGGCCCATGCGGGGAGGTGTAGCCGTAAGGCCTGTTGAGCTATAATATTTAGTTATCCCTGTATGTGTCTCGTTCGTTTGTTACTTGTCTACCGTCATCCCCATAATCTTTGAGCCTACCTGCGTTGCCAAATGCTTTGACAACGTCACGAGGCCTTACTCATGTATCTCTCGAACGAATCAACCGATTTTGATTAGCTTAGCAGCAATTGGCGTGGTTTTTTAGTGTCTAAAGCTGATCAGATTTCGGAATTGATTAGTAGAGCCGTTTAAAAGTTATCCCAAAAAAAACCACATTTGAAAAAAATTTTTTTTCGTGGTTTGTTTGAGATTTCTCAAAATCTACTCGTCCGAATCGGTCCAAATTGTATCCAAAATTTAAGTTTGGCCAAACCATTTTGAATGATACCTACCGTCATGAAATCGGTCGAACCGTTCAAAAGTTATAAGCGGTTCACACACACACACACACACACACACACACACACACACACACACACACACACACACACACACAGGCATAGATGTTAGCCCGGATATGTGGCGACTCGACGCAGCGTCATACTAATACTCGACGCTAACGCCCCTACCCACTAAACCCTAAACCCCTTTTCCTTCTTTCCTCTAATCCCTCATGGGAACCGCCGTCAGGCATTACTTCGTGAAGGGAGGATCTAGCTACTGCTCTTCCTTCTGGTGGCTAAGGTGTTAACTAGCTTCCTTCTATCTTCTCCTATTTGCTCTTCTTCTTTCGGTGGAACGCAAGTCTTTGAGGACTTCTGTTGCAAACGTGTTGGTAGCGTTCCAGGCAGCTTCTGATGACAACATTGCTCCCACTAGTGAATCTGGTTGCAATCTCTGGTTCAGAATCCTCTCCAACTCTTCACGCTGTGGATCGAAACGAGGACATACAAAGAAGACGTGCTCCGCATCTTCAGCAACTCCTGGGCAGGATGGGCACTCCGAAGAGTCATCGTGCTTAAAGCGGTGTAGATACTTTCGAAAACACCCATGTCCCGACAACATCTGCGTAAGATAGTAATTGACCTCACCGTGATTCCGGTTAAGCCAAATGTCGATCCAAGGTATGAGACGGTGCGTCCACCTATCCTTCTTTGCAGCATCCCATTGTAGTTGCCATCGGCCTATGCTCTTCTGCCGTTCTTCAATTCTAAGTTCTTCAGGGCTCAGTGCAGTTGACCTTTTTCGTTGGTAAAGGGCCCGTCTTTCCTCTGCTAGAACTCTAAGAGGTAGGGTTCCAGCAATGACGCACACTGCTTCTTCTGATATAGTGCGGAAGGCACTAGCTACTCGTAGGGCACTTAGTCGGTATATTGGTCCAGCTTTTCTCCATGATTCTTGGGTTTCCAGTGCATCAGCCCAAATGGATATTCCGTAAGTGAGCACTGATGTGACTACTGATGACAATAATAGCCTCCTGATCTGCATTGGGCCTCCGATGTTAGGCATCAGCCGTGCGAGACTAGCCCTCACTACTGACGCTTTGGCACTGACATGTTCCACCTGCTGCTTGAAGTTGAGTCGTGCATCCAGCATCACTCCCAGATAACGGATAAATGGTTGTGATGTGATTTCTTGTTCTCCGACTCTCAACTTAATGGTTTCTACCGTTTTTCTCCTGGTGATGAGCACTGCCTCGGTTTTATGCTTGGCTAGTTGCAAGTTCATCATGTCCATCCACAAATTGACTCGTCTGAATGTAATATCAAATGCCATTTCTATCTCTTCGAGGTGATTTGCGACAATCACGACAGCTACGTCATCCGCATATGCTACAAGTTTGACTCCCGTAGGCAATGCTATTCTCAGGAGGCCATCATACATGATGTTCCATAGCAGAGGACCTAGGACTGATCCCTGTGGCACTCCTCCGGAGATTTCGTACACTTCCGTACCATTCGTCGTGTCATATTTCAGGAGCCTGCTCGTGAAGTAGCTCGCTACTATTCTGCGAAGGTATCCTGGTATGTTTTTTTCTTCTAGAGCCCGCATAACGCAGTCCCAGTTAGCGGAGTTGAAGGCATTTTTGATGTCCAAAGCAGCCACCAAGCAGTATTTCTTCTTTCCACCCTTCCATCTCGTTCAAGCGATTGCATCCTTGGCTATATCAACAACCAATTTGATCGCATCCAGAGTTGACCGTCCTTTTCGGAAACCAAACTGGTTCTCTGCCAGGAGTGGATCGACTAAAGCCTCTATTCTCTGATGAATTATGCGCTCGAATATCTTGCCGGCCGTGTCTAACATGCAGAGTGGTCGGTAGGATGACGGTTCTTCCGGCGGCTTTTTTCCCTTCGGAAGTAACACTAGCCGTTGCTGTTTCCACTTCTGGGGAAAAGTCCCTTCCTTCAGGCATGTATCGTAAACGTCCAGGAATAATGTCGGTGCTGCCCTAAGGATTGATTTCAGGGCAATATTAGGAATTCCGTCCAATCCCGGCGCCTTATTATTCCCTACTCGATTTCCTGCCTCTATCAACTCGTCCAACGTGATAGTTAGGATGTCTTCAGAATTGAGCTGCTCCGACTTGTAGTTGAATACCGGCTGTTGGGGAAATAGCGCAGTAACAATTTTCTCTAGGAGCTGTGGACACGTAGGTGATGGCATTGGTTGGCATTTCAAGTGGGTCATAACCACCTTATACGGTCTGCCCCATGGATCTTTCTCGACTTCTGCGACCAGTTCCTTCCAGCAGCGTCTTTTGCTTTCTTTGATGGCTCTGTTCAGTTCTCGACGGGCCTTTTTATACTCTGCTAACAGCTCTGCGGAGTTAGGTCGTCTGTAGCCACGCTGAGACTTTCTTCTTTTTTTAAGACACTCTGAGCGTAGAATGCTAATGTGGTCGTTCCACCAGTGCACTGAAGGTCTTGAATTCATGCCCCGTTTCCGAGACATACTAGCGTCGCAAGCCAATCTTCGATTTTCTAGCGGGAAGTTAAAAAAGGTGACTCAAGAATTTTTCGACTTTTTATATAGGAAGTTTTTCAATTAATTCAACAGTAGGTTTCTTTTAAATTGAAAAACAGAACAATTTCGAACTAAAAGTAATGAATTAAAGACAAAAATTTTCTTAGTTCAAGATGTACATTTCTTCTATGTAAAAAATCGAAAATATCGTTTGTATTCAATAGGCTTAGTCATTCAATAAAAAAATTTAATAATGAAAATTATTTGGAATATACGTATATGGTCATAAGTTATAACAATATAGTTAAAATTATTAAAACAATGGTTATAATGAAAATAGTAATTCGGTAAAAATTCTGATTGGTTAATGTTGATATTGGTACAAATGTAATTGGTTCACTTATTATAGGTAGGCTAGCTATTAATGTGCCTCTTACGTATTATATTTTTCGTCCTAGGCGGACGTAAGAGGGTTTTTACGCGCAGACGACACTCAATTTGTAAATAATACGCGTACGCGCCACACGGAAAAAATGAAACCCGACTGGTTCGTTTTCTGCACCAGACTGAGTCGTGTGCGCACTCGAATGAGTTTAGTGTAGCACAGGACTCAGTCATTTAAATAAACAAATTAACAAATTTATTTCCAAAGACTCTACGATTAATGACTTGACAATTAACTCCCCAGAATAGAATAATTACTTAATGGCCTGGTCTTCGCCATAGCCTGATTAACACAACTGAATCACTTCGAGGATGCTAACCAGTTAGCTCGCAGATCACAACTAATTAAACTAAACTATCCCTAACTGAGCCGACCTCGTCTTCGCAAATACAACTCGCTCCGAATGATTAGTAGCTTGCCCCCTGGCTTCTTTGGAGATCCTTCGGGTTGTATGCTCCAGGGGGTGATCACTCAATGCTTTTAGATGGGACTAAATTTTGTCAGCGGGCTTAGTATTAAACTACCAACACTAGTGCATGAAAATGCCATGTTTGCAGTTTTTTATTTTTGGGTAGCACTGATTACTAGGAGAGCTCTTTCTCTAAGAGCGCACTCTAACGCTCAAGAGCATAGTTAATTGAGTGGCGGTAAATTATGAATTCGAAATTATTGAGTCAGAAAAAGAGAGGGCACGACCTTGAGAAGTTATTTTGGAATCAAACTTCGTGTATTAATTGTAATCTTTCATGGTATTCAACCGTTAGATTAATAACACGAAATCCTCAATAAATCGACTCGAGAAAAATTAGGCTTAAAAAATACAGCTCATATACCAGTAAGTTCTATTATCGCTTGGCTGAGACAAAGTAGCTTAGTCAATTCTCAGTTCTCGTCAGGTAATGGTCATGAACGGATGGGCTAAGTACATCCCTTAAACTTGGACATACCTGCAAAACTAAATTACTACCCAGTAATTTCGTTGTAGTTGAATCAAATGTTCAACGGCAAAAATTAGTGCGAACAATTAATAATTAAAATTAGTGAAAAAAATAATTATTTACCCCGCGAAAACCGAGGTAATAATAACAAAATGATTCTCAAAAATGTAAAGTGTAGTGTGACAGGTATGATTACTGTCAGTGACTTCCCGTCTCAAAACTTAACGAACAATGACATATTACATATTTTAACAAAAACTAAAAACCCAAAAGACATTAATAGATTATTTACAAAAAAAAAGGCCGCAATAATTGCGGCCAATAATCTTAATAGAATGGGAAAACAAAATAAAAACAGTGAAAGTGAAGTGCTTGATAAGCTTAACATAAACCAGCTGAAAAATGAAATTCGTGATTTGCAAAAAAAGATATTAGAACTAACAAAAATCAATGAAAAATTGAGAAATAAAAATAACATAAATGATGAAGAAACAATGGAAACAACTTCCAACAGTGAAAACCCACAGTTAGATCCTGAAATCGTAGAAGACACCGAAGATGGATCATGGCAAACGGTTTTAAAAAGGAAAAACAAACGATATAAGGTATCAAGAAACGAAACCATTATTAATAAAATCAACCAGACCGATAAAATAAAAGAAAAGGATAATAACACCCCGATAACAACGAACCAGAAAGAAACCAAAACTAGACGGCCCTTCAAACCGCCTCCTATTAACATAGTAGATCAATCGCCAAGAGAT